GGGGGGGGAGCCCCCGGCCGTGCCGAGCCGAGCTGAGCCGAGCCGTAGGGATGGAGGAGCGCTACAGCAAGGAGGAGACCCTCGCCCTGCGCAGGAAGCACATCGGGTAAGGGGGGGGGCGGCGGGGCCGGGAGCGGGGAGGAGGAAGAGGAGGAGGAGGGAGGAGGAGAAGGATAAACTGTTAAAGACCAGGCTGGATGGGGCTTTGAGCAACCTGCTGCAGGGGAGGTCTCCCTGCCCATGGCCCCATGGCGGGGGGTGTGAGTCTATGATCCCCCTCCCCGGCAGTGTCAGTGCCCGAGGGGGGAGCAGAGGGGGTGAGGGTCGGGCAGCCCCCCCGTACCCCCCCCCAGGCCGGCGAGAGGGGAAGGGGAGAAGGAGAGGACCTCCAGCCCCTCAGCTCGCCACGTCTCGGGGCTATTTCATTAAGACGCCGCTTCCAGCTGTGGCTCTTTTTTAACAGAGCAAAGCCAGGCAGCGGTACCCGGGGGTACCCCTGGGACGGGGCTGTGCGGGGGGGCTTGGTGCATCCTCCTGAAAAGCAGAGAGATGATGTTCCCCCTCCCCGGCAGTGTCAGTGCCCGAGGGGGGAGCAGAGGGGGTGAGGGTCGGGCAGCCCCCCCGTACCCCCCCCCAGGCCGGCGAGAGGGGAAGGGGAGAAGGAGAGGACCTCCAGCCCCTCAGCTCGCCACGTCTCGGGGCTATTTCATTAAGACGCCGCTTCCAGCTGTGGCTCTTTTTTAACAGAGCAAAGCCAGGCAGCGGTACCCGGGGGTACCCCTGGGACGGGGCTGTGCGGGGGGGCTTGGTGCATCCTCCTGAAAAGCAGAGAGATGATGTGTTAACTGAAGCTCAGGAGATTTCTGAAGCTGTATCTAAGGGAGGGAGCTCAGGAAGGCTGCTGGCAGTTGAGACCTGAGCCGTGGTCTGTCTCTGCTCCCACTGTATTGCCGGGCTCTATCATTTCCTCCCACTTCTGTAGGTGTCTCCAAGTGAAAAATAAGTCCAGATAATTGTTAAAGCCAGGGCTGGCTATTTGCTGATTGCGTCCTAAATGGGTGGGATGTATAAAAGGCTCACTAAAGATTCATAAGTTATGGCTTCACAAAAACTTTTCTTAAGGAGCCAGCTCAATGTTAAGGGGCTGTTGCCTGTGCAGGGATTACAGCACTGGGCTGTGTTAGAGACACAAAATGAAACTGTCACAGAAAGGGACTGACCCCTAACAGAAGAAAAAGCTGTAGTCAAGCAGTGCCCGATGCTGATGTGCACTGCTTTTAAACTGTACCAGAGGAATAGCCGAAGAGGTCAGAAAAAGAGCTGTGCAACAGGGCTAGAAACCATGAGACAGTAAACACCTTCACTTTCTAGGATTCACATTTGGGCTTTACAAGTTCATACTCTTAAGATATGTGACCACAGGGATGCATTAGCAGCGCTGTCTGAGTTACCTGGAAACGACCGTGTTTATCTGAGGCCATATAAACACTACTAAAAGTTCAGAAGACTTTCCTTCTGCTTAGTAATAGCATTCAACTTAATTACATAGCTGTCATGTTCTCCAAGAGGGGAAGAAAAAGAAATGAAAGAAAAAAAAAAGAGTGTTTAGAAAGTACTTTGAATAATTTTACGAAGCCAGTGCGATTTGTGTGCTTATAAAAAGCCACTTTTAAAGATTTATCCAAAGCAGCCAGGATGAGACACTGAGATTTTTAGGACCTGCTCAGCACCTCTGACAGTAAAGCCTGCAAGGCATTAGTGTTTTGTTCTTGAAGGTGACCTCTATACGGTACAGTCATCCGTTGCGCAATGAATTTTTGGCTATAGTATAAAACAATGCTTAACAGCATAGTTTGATTCCCAGAGAGTTAATTGGCCATACATGCTCATAAGGCATGGAAACAAACAGAGCTACAGCCTAGAAATGCAGCAGGACATATAAGGACCTGGAATGACTGGCAGTCGCTGTGCTCCTGTGAAACCACTTGCAGACAGTCATGCTTTGAAAACACCCTACCTCTGTTCCCTCCGCGCCTGGGGAGGTGCCCGGGGGCTGTTTTTATTTTCAGCAAGTGCCCTCCTTCACCACCATCTAAACCACTCACAGGCTCTTTGCAGAGGGAGGCAGTTGTCTCCAGAGCTGCAAAACGTCAACCCCCTCAACACTCAAAGGAGGGGGACCAACTGAGAAAACTAAAGTGGTGTTATTTTATATATATATATATAATTTTTTTTTAGGCCTTCCTGCAAAGTTTTCTTTGCCAAGGACCCTCTGAAGATAGTGCGTGCTCAGGGCCAATATATGTTTGATGAGAAAGGAGAAAGATACTTGGACTGTATCAACAATGTTGCACATGGTAAGCAGTTCAGCTTGTCAGACTGCTCCTATTCCCTCATTTCTTCCAAGTGATGACATTCACTGTGCTGCTCTGAATGCCCTTCTGCGGTTCAATAACTGCCTGCTTGCTAGTAATATCTAATTATTTACTTCTTTAGTTGGCCACAGTCATCCGTACGTGATAAAGGCTGCAACTAAACAGATGGAACTTCTCAACACGAATTCCCGGTTCCTGCACGACAACCTGGTTCAGTACGCGCAGCGCCTCACGGCCACCCTGCCCGAGAAACTCTCTGTTTGCTATTTTGTTAACTCTGGGTATGTCTCAATATTTACTTCTTTTTTTTTTTTTTTTTTTTTTTTTTCCCTTTAAACCTTTTTTGGGCCCGTTTGAGTGGGACG